CACCAACAGCTGGAAAGACCCCAGGTGTTCCCAGACTGGCGGGAAACAAAGTGCAGGTAACACAAGTGGGCAGTGAGAAGAAAGGAGGACGACACGCACTTGGCAGGTGGCGCTCACAAGCAGAGTGCCAGGTGCATGACTGCACCCATGCGAAATTCTAGAAAAGGCAGAAACCAGAGTGATAGAAAGCAGACCTGTTTACCAGGGTTCGGGGCTGGGACAGCCGCTGGGGGTGATGGAAACGCTCTGTGTCACAGTGGTGGTGGTAGTTCTGGGGGCGCATCTCGAATCCTGTGAGCAGTTCATTGTGTACATCATACCTTATAAGGTCATTTTTCAAAAAAAACAGAACTACAGCGACCTCACCTTAAAAACCCTGGAAATTCCTTAGTATCTTTTAAGTTTCAAAGGACTAGCCAAGTTCCCCCCAAGTATCTCGTTAAGGTTTTAAAATCTGCATTTTGTTGATTTTCAACTTAAGTGTAATGTGCATGCAGAATACGCGCATTTGTAAGAGGCTTCCTCAGTTACTGGGATGTAGGTGGTCCGTGGGGGCGGGTGACCTTCTAATGCATCCCCCTCCCCAGGACATCTCTGGCAGGGAGAGGGCCGCGGGGAAGGCAGCTCCGCAGGGCACCGGCTTTAGCTCTGCTGCGCCCGCCCCAGCACGAGGAAGCAAGCTTTCCCCTTCCCCTGGCAACAGCCCAGCCAGTGGGGGACTGTCACACGTCGGCCAATGAGAAGCCACTATACTCTGGACTCCCGGTTCGCTCCAATGGTTCGCTCCAATAGACTTCTTGTTCCTAAGGGCTCGGGAACGCCCCCTCTCCCATATAAAACAGCGTCCAATTCCTTTGTTCCCAGGCTTGCCCGTGCTTTTGCCGTAAGCCTCCTTGCCTGGCAGCTCCTGAATAACCTCCCCCTTTTTCTTTCTGGTGAAACAACTGGCAGCTTTCTTTTTAAGGTTAACAGGAGAAAGTAACTTCCGGCCCGACCGAAGCCAGGGAGCTGGTAGCCTGTGGTGCCAAATCCTGGGCGATGCCAGGTTGCCTGGCCCACTTGCAGGGGGAGGCTGGGCGGTGGGGTGAGCAACGGCCTACCCAACCAGAGGCTCCTTGGGCTGCAATGGCTGCACCTTTTTCCAGAGCCTCCCTGTCCTAGCAAGAAGGGAGTCAGCACTGTGCATTGTTCTATAGAATGTTCCAGAACATTAGCTCAGGGTATGGTTTCTGTAAATCGGATTCGATGTTTTTATTAATTCCACTATAAACCCAAAGACTGAGTCCAAGGGGAAAAAATGTTAACCGGTTAACACACTAGAATTCAGGTCCTTTCCACTAACATTTTGGCGACTTGATGCGGGATCTACCAGAAGTTCTATCTCCTAGACGCCAGGCACTACTCAAGGCATTCTCGGCCCAACAGTGAACAACAGTGAACAACGTCAATCCCTAACCTCATGACGTTTCCGGGCAGATTTGCATCTAAGAGCATGCAAACAAAAAACGCCATGCAGACCTCACACACTTACCTGCAAATAAATGACTCCTAGACCACCTGCCCCGGGCAAAGTCCGAACCAAGGTCCGCCCACATTAGCTATGGGGTTTGGGAGCCAACTGCAGTCAGTCCCCAAGGAGCTTCTGAAGCCTTAGGACATCCTTCCTCTCCCAGGCCTGCCATCATTCCCAGTTTCTACATGCCTCCACAACACTACACTGTCCCATAATGCAGCCACCAGTCACAGGACTATGTAGGTTTATATTTAAATAAACTTAAGTGAATGCAATTAAAAATGCAGTTCCTCCCCGTGTGGCCACATTTCAGGCACTCAAGTGGCCAGTGACTATGGCTACCATATTGGACAGTGCAGACATGGAGGATTTCCATCAGCGTCCCACAAAGCCCTATTCTCCCACAACCTGTTATATGACATGTCCTTCAACTTTATCTCAACACACACACGAGGGCTTCTGCTAGGGGCCCACACTGATGCCATGAATAAGCCTGACAACCAAATATAAACTTCAGCTTGGAAGGCAGGAGGAAAACCACAGCAACAGGAACACCGGCAAGGAATAATCTGCCAATAGCCTTCAGCTCCTGGTCAAGGTCCAAGGTCGGCCCTTGGCCAAGTCCTTAACCTCTAAGGGCCCCATTTCCCCTGTCACATGACAGAGCTGGACTGGGGGGCCTCTAAGGGTCCTTCCAGATCTGACCTTCTAGAACTCTGAGTCCCAACAAGGAAAAATGTAAATGGCTAACTAAACATTAACATTACTTAAGCCAAAGGAAATAAACCAAAATAACCAAAGGAAACATGCTCTTCTAAGATTTTAAACGCTGTCCCGGCACCTGCATCATAGGGCTGGATCGGAAAGAGGAGGAGACAGCACCCCACAGTGGTCTGACTCTCCAAAGTTCAGGTTCTCAAAGGTAAACTGTTCTCTTTGTGAGCTCACATTCCCCTTGTGAGCTCACTTTTATAACTGCCCAGGACTGCCCCAAGGATTTTAATCCCTAGAACAGGCATTATCGGCTCCTGTTCGCAAAGAAGAGAGCTGAGGCCCAGCGAGGTTAAGGAACATGCCTAAGGCCACTCGCCTATAAGAGGCCGAGCTAGGATTCAAATTCAGGCCCCTCAGCCTCCTGAGCCAGTGTCCCACTTTGGGACAAAAAGAGCTTCCATTTACTTACAAGGTGCCAGCCATTCCAACAGGCACTAGATACACTTTAACACTCAGAACCACCCAGGAGAAAAATGGGACACTGGAAGGTCAGGCGGCTTCCAAACGGGGTGGAGGCAGCCTTCACTTAAGTAATGCTAATGTTTAGTTGGCAGATTACATTTTTTCCTCATTGGGCTGCAGAGTTGGTTCTAACCATTGCCCTCCCCAACCTTTAGCGCCCCATCCCTTCAACACCGCCTTCCAAACCGAGAGCATGTGACCACTCTTAAGATCTACTATAGTGGGGGTTCTGGCATCCTTCCCTGCTGGACTGTGAACCCCTGAAGCTGGGACCAAATGTTCCGTGTCGGTCAGTGTCCCTCCGTGCCACTTTGCTCCCTGGAGGTGTCCAGTGAAACTCGTTAAATTCACAGGCTTGGCTGTCCCAGGCCAGGAGGCTCCTCTTTCAACGCAGGGTATCAGCTCAGATGTCCTTAAAGGGCTCCCTGCCCTGGTATGTCCACTCTCCAGTGTCCTGGAGCTTCTCTGGGCCAAACCCTTGTGACCATGGCCCTCTTCACAGCCCCGCCCCAACTCCCTTTGGCAGCTGAGCTGGGCACGGGCCACTCACCTCAGCCAGGCAGTCTGCCCACCTGTCCCAAGGCCATTCCAAGAAAATACGCAATTGTAAATATGCCAGAGCCGGCGCGGTACACATCCAAGGTAACAGAAAACACACACACAGATGTGTAGATTGAAATCGGTATCTTCTTTTATGGTGGGGGGGTGGTGTAGTGGAAAATCCACGGGTCTGGACACATACAACCTGGCAGGGGCTGCCCTCAGGCTCTTGTGGCTGGATGACCTTACCGAGACATTGGGGCTCCCAGAGCCTCAATATCCTACTCCAATTTCCTTCCTCTCTTCACAGTGGTGAGACCCCTGCCATCCTCCCTCCCAGGGAAGTTGGGCAAACCGAATGAGTCCAGAGATACACAAGCCCTCTGCAAATGCTGAATACCAAGGTCACTTGGCCAATACAAGGCAGAGCCTGATCCAGGGCCCTGACGCCAGGCCCGTCCTTTACCCAACTCAGTTGCTTCTATTATTTTTGCCCTGGAACTCGGGAGTTGGTGCGGCCATGACCGCCACACAGCCAGTAACAAAGGGAGCACAGCAAGGTTCTCCTTAAAAGTCTCCTCTCCCTAGAAAACGCAAAACTGACCTTGAAGTCAGAAAAGGCTTCTGACTGGGTCAGAAGTGAGATGGAATCAAGGCACCGCGTGAATGCAGCACTTACTGAACACACCCAGCCACTGCCTTTTCCAGAGAGATGTCAACATCCACAGGAAACCGATCTGGCTGGGACCCAAGTTCAGTGTGATGCCCAGCCTCCAAGCCTCAGGAACCAGCCCCATACCAGGAAGCAGCTCGCTCCTAGCGCGCACCAGGCAGGACAGCCCCGCTGCAGGCCCGGTCCTAGCGCGGCCTTCCCAGACTTCTTGCCCTTAACTCAGCTCCTCCCCAAATACCAGGGCGCTTGCTTCTGATTCTGCCCAAAGGGATGGAGAGTAACCTTGAGGCTGCCCTCCGCGCTCCGGCGGGAAATAAGCCAGCTCATGGTCTCCGTCTTCTCTGAGGGCTGCTATCTACCTCGGGCCCGTGGAGGAAGGTAGGGGTGGTCCGCTGCGAAGAACAACCCCGCGCCCCATTGTGTGAGATGCTTCCAGGCTCCACGGAGCAGTAAACCGTCATCAGGGAAGGGGATTTTCCGCTCTTCCAGTTAACACCGGCTTTCCGCGAAACCCGAGGCATCACACTGAAGGGAATGCTCTCCTGCAGCCCCCGCCCACTCGGGTACCCACCCGGGGACTCGCCGGGCGAGCTGGTTATCTGCGCCCCACCTCTGGGGGGATCCGGTGGGCGAGGCGCCACCGCCCGGAGAACGCCCTCGAATTAGGGGGGGCTCAACGGGAGCCGGGTAGGGGCTCCAGCGCGCTCCGGCACGGGCGGGGCGCGCGGCACGCGGCGCGGGGGTTGCGCACCGACTCCGCCCGGAAGGGCGCCGCGCGGATTCCTCCCGCAAACGGCCTGCGTGGTCGCCGCGCCGCGCCGTCCCCGGGATACGCCAGGGGCCGCCGGCGCTGCGGAGTCCGAGGCGCATCCCGGCCGCGGCGGGCGGGCGGCGAGCCGGAGAAGCAGGGCCCGGCACCCGGCTGGGTTGGGGGCGATGGGGGGAGGCCGCGGAGGGGCGCTGGCCGGGGCGGGCCGGAGCGGGCCCGGGCGCTGACTCAGCGACCTGGCCGCCCATCGCGCCGCGCGCCCCGCTTACCGGCAGATCTGGATGGCGGACGGGGTCTCGGCGGTGGGGCCTGACATGCCGGCGGCGACCGCGAGCGGCTGAAGGAGAACGCAGGTGTCTGGCAGGCCTGGCGCGGAATGAATGAGCCCGGGCGGCGCCATGGAGGGGGAGGGAGGGGAGGGGCCATGGCGCCGGGGGCGGGGCCTAGGCGCCGGCGACGAATCGAACGCGGCCTCCTGCGCCGGCCCGGCCCCCCAAGCGCCCCGCCCCCCCAGCCGCCGCCGGCTCCCCCGGCGTCCGGTTCTGGCTGCGGCTGGGCGCCGTGGGGCGCCGCTTCCAGAAGGTTCGGCGGCTGTTGGGCGGCGCCGAGGGGGGGCGGCTGCGTGGATCAGCGTAGCCCCACGCGGCGCGTGTTCGTGGGGGGCGTTCCAGTCGCCCGCGCCCGGCCGTTGCGGGTCACAGCGCCCCGCGAGGCGGCCGGCGTGCGGCAGAGAGGCCTGGGGGGTCCGCGTCCGGGTGTCGCCTTCTCGAATCAGCCATGACAGGAAACTGGAGGCGGTTTCCCGTAAAGGAGCCTTTACGGCCGAGCTACCGTGTGCGGTGCAGCGAGGCACGTGCGTGCGCGGAACCCGGAGCCCGGAGCTGGGCATCTGTCTACACCGCCCGCTGCAAACCGCCGCGGGGACCCTGCAGGAGGACCTCCCGGGGCGCGGAGCTTTGGCCTGGGGGCGTGCATGCTGCAGTAGGAACCCTAGAGATGCTGATCTGTGACGTTGCACGCCCTATGCTCCGCTGTGGGGTCCAGGTCAAGTCGGGGTCACAAAATACGCCCAAAATCCCCCAAGGAGGGGAAGGGTGATTGCCTTGCCAGAATTACGGAGAGCTTTTTACCCCATGTGAGATTCGCCTTTCTCCAGATTTGTTACAATGAACATAAATTGCTTTTGTAGTCAGATTTTTAGAAATCAAATGAAACCCACAGAACTCGAGCTCTTCGGTGAAATTTGAAAACCCATTTCATTTATTCCAAACTAAATAGCTCCGAAGGACTCGTGCCTCATCCTGGTCAGTCTGGCCTTCCCAGACCATGGAGGGAGCCCAGACCCCATCTGTGATCTAAGATTATTGCACTAGAGGGCGGGGCCCGGGGCGGGGAGTGGGGGTGATTATTGCACTAGAAATTTTGTTTTTAACCCTAGTTAACCACCACCTCTTCCCGTGATGGGTCCCAAACGGGATGGATTTCTTAGGTTGGGAACCTAGGAGCAATAGCCAGCTTTAGGGTCTTAGCCAAAGCAATTTCCTTATCTATTAATTGGGAGTAATACCTTTCTGACCTTCCGCATGAGAAATGAGGTAATGAAAGTAAGGGGCCTACCTCGTTAATAATCAGGGCCTTTCTTCCTCTTTTGTTCTCACCTTTCCTGCTCAAATGTTGTTTCTCCAGACAGCTCTTCCCAGGCCCTCAATGCAATAGAACAAGGATTTACAGGGGCCCTGCCCTGTGTGTACAGGTGGGAGCATTCCCACGAGGTTGGATACATTTTTGTTCTTCAAAAAGCTCCATATCTGATCGGGAGACAAATGGGACACAAAAAGCCTGGTTGTGACCACATGCTGAGCTGAACGGAATTCCTAGACCAGGGAATGGGGCTGAATGGTTCAGGATTAAAGAGCCGCATCCTTCCCAGAGGGGGACGGGAAGATCTGGGGCAACATCTGTACCTTTGGGAAAGGGTGCGGCTCTGCTTTGGCCCAAGACAGTGTCTGTCAACCTTCTCCATGTGACAGCTCGTCCAGTAACAGAGGGAGCCAAGGAACATAGTCTGTGTCCCGGTTCTGCAGAGCAGACTGCTCTGGGATTAACCACTTGTCAATGATTGCCAATTGTTTATGCACTTGGCCAGTGTTCAAGGTCAGGGGGTGGGGGATGGGATGTTCAAGGTCAGGGGGTGGGGGACAGTCCCGCAGCAAAAGCATCACGGATTGGCTTTACTACAGCGCCGATGGATTTCCACTGCGCCCTCAACCGTACAGTCCCCACCTTGCCACTCTGGGATTTTCTTTCTCCTGAAGCTGCTGGGCCATTTCTGTCCCTTTAAGCAAAACTTCTCAGAAGAACTGTTTATATATACATCCTCCGTCCTCTACTCCCGGTCCCATTCTCTTTTGAACCCATTCCATCCTGGGTTTTGTCTCTACAGCTCAATTTATCAAGGTCACTAATTCCTTCCAAGTTGTTAAACCCAGTAATCCGTTGTCAGAAGTCTCTTGAAACGCTTATTCCTTGCCTTCCAAGACGCCATTCGCTGTTATATTTCTGGCCACTTTGTTTGGTCTGCTCTGCTGGTCCTGCCCCAGCGGAGGCCCAGACCTCTCCCCTGAATTCTGGACACATGTGTCCTCTTGCCTGGACCACACGTTGCTGCAGGTGTGTGGTAAGCATCTCACATTCCCCCCGAAATTGCTGCTCTAGTCTTCCGCGGCAGTTTCTTCCTTCTTACTGCCTAAGCTAACAACTGAGGAGTCACCCAGGCCTCGTTTCTCACCCAGGCCTCATCCAGCCTACCAGCAAATCCTGCCAGCTCTGCATTCAAAGTAAGTCTAGAATGTGCCCCGTCTCCCCATGGCATTCGAGAATCCACCCACACCTCCATCCACATGGCCTCATCTCTGCCCTCCCCATTGCTCGCTTAATCTCCACCCCTGTGACCCCTCAAAGGGTCCTTGACCACACCCTACCCCTCTTTCTTTATGCACCCCCCAAGACCCAGCCCTCACTTCCTTGGGTCTTTACTAAAATACCACCTATGAACGGGGCTTCCTCGGCCACCTGTCTAAAACTGTGGTTTTTCAGTCTCCCTACCTCTCTTCCTGACTTCTTTTTCCCATTAACTTTTTTTTTTTAAGATTGTATTTATTTATTTGACACAGAGTGGTAGAAAGAAAGAGCACAAGCAGGGGGAGGGGCAGGGAGAGGGAGAGGGAGAAGCAGGCTCTCCGCTGAGCAGGGAGCCCAATGCAGGTCTCCATTCCAAAACCCCAGGATCCTGCCTGACTCAAAGGCAGAAGTGCTTAATCAACTGAGCCTCCCAGGCGCCCCTACCCTTAGCTCTTAATGCCACTTAGCATGGATTTTACTCATCTATTTATTGTGTCTCCCCGAACCAGAATCCAGAATGCCTGTTCCATGAGGGCAGGATTTTTTTTTTTTTTTTTTTTTTACTATTTTGTTCATTGCTGTATGCCAAGCCCCTAGAAGAGTGCCTCACCTGTAACAGGTGCTCAGGAAATATTTTACCAATGATCGACTCAACAGAGGTTTACAGCAATATACTGGACCACAGCAATTTGATTCATTTGCCTTAATTTCCCCATTCATTCTTTGGACTAGAAATGGTATCCAGGGTGCCTGGGTGGCTCAGTGGGTTAAGCCACTGCCTTCGGCTCAGGTCATGATCTCAGGGTCCTGGGATCGAGTTCCGCATCGGGCTCTCTGCTCAGCAGGGAGCTTGCTTCCCTCTCTCTCTCTCTGCCTGCCTCTGTCTACTGTGATCTCTCTCTGTCAAATAAATAAATAAAATCTTTAAAAAAAAAAAAAAGAAATGGTATCCACAAATCGTCATTTTAAAAGCTTACGTATAAAAAGTAATAATAATTGGGGCACCTGGGTGGCTCAGTGGGTTAAAGCATCTGCCCTCGGCTCAGGTCATGATCCCAGGGTCCTGGGATCGAGCTCCATGTCGGGCTCTCTGCTCAGCGGGGAGGCTGCTTCCCCCCACCCCTCTCTGCCTGCCTCTCTGCCTACTTGTGATCTCTGGCAAGTAAATAAATAAAATCTTTAAATAATAATAATTATAATAAAATAGGGACGACTGGATGGCTCAGTTGGTTAAGCGGCTGCCTTCAGCTCAGGTCATGATCTCGGGGTCCTGGAATCGAGTCCCGCACGGGGAGCCTGCTTCTGCCTCTTCCACTCTCCCTACTTGTGCTTTCTCTCTCTCTGTCAAATAAGTAAGTAAAATCTTTAAAAATAATATTAAAATAAAAATTAAAAGCTTGCATATATTATTTAAATGTCTACAAATTTTTATGGAAAGTACTTATTTTTAAGATTTTATTTATTAGAGTGTGCGCAAGAGAGTGAGTGAGCAGGAACAGGGACAGAGGGAGAGTGAAAAGCAGACTCCCCACTGAATTAGTGAGCCCGACACAGGGCTTGATCCCAGGACCCCAGGATCACGTCCTGAGCTGAAGGCAGACGGCTAACCAACTGAACCACCCAAGCACCCCCATGTAAAGACAATTAAGAAACGATTGACACTGGTAACCTTTGTGGAAAAGGGGTGAGACCTTTGCTTTCTATATACATATATATATATACTTTTAAAAGATTTATTAATTTATTTGAGGGGGAGGGCAGATGGAGAGAGATAATACTGAGACAGACTCCCTGCTGAGGATCCTGACTCGGGGTTCGACCCCACGCCCTTGAGATCATGACCTGAGCTGAAATCAAGAGTTGGCCGCTTGGGGTGCCTGGATGGCTCAGTGGGTGAAAGCCTCTGCCTTCGGCTCAGGTCATGATCCCAGGGTCCTGGGGTCGAGCCCCGCATCAGGCTTTCTGCTCAGCAGGGAGCCTGCTTCCTCCTCTCTCTCTGCCTGCCTCTCTGCCTACTTGTGACCTCTATCTGTCAAATAAATAAATAAAATCTTAAAAAAAAAAAAAAGAGTTGGCCACTTACCCAACTGAGCCACCCAGGTGTCCCTCACTTAAATATTTTTGCACTGTTACCACCTAACCTCTTGACTATTTTTTTTAAGATTTTATTTATTTGACAGACAGAGATCACAAGTAGGCAGAGAGGCAGGCAGAGAGAGAGGAGGAAGCAGGCTCCCCACTGAGCAGAGAGCCCGACGAGGGGCTCGATCCCAGGATCGAGATCATGACCTGAGCCGAAGGCAGAGGCTTAACCTACTGACTCACCCAGGGGTCCCTAACCTCTTGACTATTTTATTATTCTTTTCAAGTCATCTTGGAGTATCAGACATGAAGCGATAGGGGCTCCCATACACTCTGATGGTGGAGACAGAAGCTGGGGCAGCCTCTTTGGAAAATAGCTGAAGATCATTGTTCAAGTTGGAAAGAGCTATAGCCTGTGACCCA